CACAGATAATTTATCTTATCTCTTATCTTTCTTGTACTTTGAAATGTAAAAATTTCAAAACAATTTGTAAAGGAAATAAAAGGAAAAACTCATAAAAAAGAACTAATTAATTATGGTTTTCAAATCTTGTAAGCATTTACATTTTGGTGTTCTTTTAAAAAATATTTTTGTTTTATGTGTATGAATGTTTTGCTTGCATGTATGTAAGTGTACCACATGCATGCAAAGCTGCAGAGGCTAAAAAATGGTGTCAGATCACCTAGAATTGGAGTTATGGTTGTTAGCATCTATGTGGGTGCTGGGAACAGAACCCAGGTCCTCTGCAACAGCAGCTATTGCTCTTAACAGCTAATCCATTTCTCTAGCACACCCTGTCCCAACTTTTCTATTTTTTAAGAAAGGATCTCAAGATGTAGCCTTAGGTGGCCTGGATCTTGCCATGTGGACCAGGTTGGCCTCTGCTGGGATTAAAGGCATGTGCCACTATACCTGGCCATTTTAGTGCTCTTCATTGTCAAACTTAAATTATGTCAAAGTCTCCCATACAGACATTTCTATAATTTTTCTTTTTATACTAACAGGTTTTCTTCATATATTTAGATACCATAATTTTTGTTAAAAAATGATTTATTTATACTATATCTTTAATATGGTTAAATATTCTAACAATATAAAATGAATCTTTTAGGAATAATATGACTACACAGTTCTTATTTCTGATTTTTATTTTCAAATAGAGAAGTGACCTGCTCAGATGTCTGTTCAGAGCATGGATTTATCGGAAGGAGGTGAAGTTGAATGCTGAGAAGTCAGTGGGGAGGCTCTTAAAATAGTACAGGTGAGAAACCATGAGTCATTGAATTAAGACAGAACAACAGAAGTTTTTTTATTTTTTTAAGCAGGTTAGGCAGGTCAATAATTTTTGGCGTCTTGAAATTACTTGGATTGCAGAAGTGTGGGGCAAGAAGAAACTTGACAATGACACTCTAATTTCTGACTTAGTTGACCATCATTTAAAAGGTAATATAGGGATGGGGAATGTGGCTCAATGATACAGTGCTTCCCTAGCATATGCAAGGTACTGGGTTCAATCATCAGAAGAATACACACAAAAGGGTAATATAGGAGGACAAGCTGGAATGGGTTTTCAGAATAGGCCATTTTCTGAAAATTCTTCTCTTAATGTTCATCTTTAAAGGATGTAAGCCAAAGACCTACAACCCAGTACTGGATTTTTGTCAATGATTTAATTAACTAAAATCTTTTACTTTTGTCTCAGACACCAGGCTGAACATTCATAAACTACAGGCACATCATACTTATTTATGTGATAATTTATGGACATAAGACAGCTATTTTATAAATTGGAAGAAAAATTTGAAATAAACAACAAGGAATTTCCTATAGCATGCAGTCCGTAAGGGAGGGATACATTTTCCACAAGAGGGCAGCATCACCTCATAAATTATGTACTGAAGACTTTCACCAGTAAGGGTTGAAGTGGAGGTGTTTCTGAAAGGGTAGATACTGTAGGTTCAAGGGCTGTTCACCTTGTCATACCATGAAAACCAATGGTTCCTACTATCTTCAAAGTTGCAGTTATAGCCACTACCAAGTGACAGCAGAGGGAAAGAAGGTAAGAAGCTCACCAAGGGATGATGACCAGAATCCTCACATTCCTTTGTGGACTAGCTCAGAAACTGCTGACAATATCCAAATTCCTTTAAAGTGTCATCATCTCTATACAACTAGCATCTCACTAGAGGCCATAATTTCTGTTAAGATCTTTGCCAACTCTAAAGGTTTCCCAGCAAATCGGACTCTGTGTAGACTATGGCATAGCACATTGTGGTTTCTAATGTATTACCCATTTAACAATGTTTAGTTACTCCAATTATGCTTCAATTATACCATAGAGAAAGGAACAGGACTGAAATTCCCTCAGAAACCATTATGTATCTATGGCCATACCACTTTGAACATGCCTGATCTCATTTCATCTTCGAAGCTAAGCAGGGTCGGACCTGGTCAGTACTTGGAAGGGAGAAACCATTATGTAAAAGTCGTGTTGTATGAGTTGTATCATTTAATCATCATAATAATGACACTCTACCAGGAATTACTATTTCCTTGTGACAGAACAAAGTAGTATTCATAGATTAGGTACTAAACAAGAAGTCTTACCAAATGATCCCTTCTTAAAATGTTGCTTAAAACTAAACCATGAGCAATCCAAAAGCTGGTGATATAGATTATTGGCAAAATACCAGACTAGCATGCTCAACGCCTCCCTAGCACATCAAAATTTTAAAAAATTAAAATCTTTTATAAAAGACCAAATCAGTGACAACATACCTATTATATGGTACAAGGCATTGCTTAACATGACAGCTCTATCTGGACAGGTATAGCTTAATACTAGGAACCAGAGGATAATATAATAAATCAATGGGGTATTGTATAATCTACCCCTATAACCCCAAACTGCTCTTTTTTGCTTTGGGTGAAAGACTGTTTAGATAGACTGTTTGGATATTACATGAGAACAATGGAAAAGTTGAAGATAGTTCTGTTTCTGGCCCAGTTGCCTGAGCATATCGAACCTTTGGTGGAGAATATGATGATGTATTAAGTTTGGAGCACAATATATTTGAAATGCTACAGACATATCTAAGTATAAATGTCTAAGAGGAAATTGGTTATGTAGTTTTGGATAGAAGAATATTATCCACATATAGATATACAAATTGAAGCAAGAGGACTGAGCGAGATTTTCCATGGTATTATAATGAAGTTAGAAAGGGGAGAACTAGTGAAAACACCAACATTTAAAGAATAAATAGTCTAAGGAATGGCAGGAAATAAAGGAGCCTGGTTAAAACATGGACAAAAAGATAGGAAATAAGAAAACAGGGTATCTTGAAAGTCAGAATTTCACATTAGGAAGGCATAATCTGGACCAGTCACATCAAATAGCTTCTATAAATCATATATGATGAAGACTGAAAATAATCCATTGGTTTTGAAAATAAGGAAATAATTTGTGACTTTTGGCAGAGTCATTGTACTTGAATTACAGAGGTCAAAATCAGATGGCAGGGACCCGAAAGCTAAATGGCACGTGGAGTAGTGTATATAGTGAGGATAGACTCTGGTTTTGAGTCTAAATATAAACTAAAGGAGGAAAATGGAGAAGTAGCCAGAGGGAGAAATATTATGGGAAAATAATTTTAATCTTTTTCCCTAATAAAAATAACTATGTTCGAGAAAGTTAAGCATATGTATAGCATAAAGGAAACCAACCAATAGAAAAGGAGAATCCATGTTCTAGAAGCACAAAACAGAAATGCAATAGGATAATAAAAGGAAGGCCACCAACCAGCAGGGAGTACAGCTCAAATGAAAGAGCACTTGCCATCTGGAGGCCCTGGGATTAAACCCCAGCATCAAAAAAAAAAAAAGAAGTCATATGAATAGGCAGATGCTTCAGCAGCAGCATTGAAATGACTACCCCAGTGGTGTCCTTGCCTTCCTTCTGCTTATGTCACTCCACTTAGCTAGAATCTCCACCTTTCTGACAGTTTATGCTTTTAATTCTACCCACCCTTTAGCTCAGTTCCTCCTCCTTTATCGATTCTAACCCTATGAAGCCTATCTGACATAATCTCTTTTTTTCTTTAATAGTAATTAATGTCTGAACAATCCATTTGACAATTATACATCATCCTGTGACACTTTATTGTTTCTTTAAAAAATATATTACTTTTTTTGTCACATTCATGCTTTTCTTCCCTGTTAGACTACACACTCCTTAAAGGGAGAGCTTCTATTTCCGGAGTTTGTGATAGCCTTCAGAGTTCCTGCTGTGACTGGCAGTAGGATCTCTTTAAATCTCTGTTGATCTGTGATTGAAAAGTGACTGTTGGCTATGAAGAAGGAGCTAGAAAACCTACTGGGTTAGATGGGCCCTTGGTGTGTACTAAGTCACTGGGTCTTCGAAATAGCAAATAAGTTGAGTCATGAAAAAGCAAAATACATTTATCTGAATAGTATGTGGCAGTGTCAGGATATGAATCAAAGGCTGTTTGTTCATTCTGCTTTAGTTGTCTGTAAAATTCTGTTCACACTAAATCTCTCTCTCCTAGATGCTACTCTATGGAGGTTGTATTACCAATCAAGTAGTTCCAGTGGCCTCTGAGCCTGTACCTTACCTCCTGACAATCAGCTTGAGGATCCGGAAAGAGCCTTTGATAAGGATGAGCGCCTCTTGGCGGGAGCCATACAATGGTGTCCCATTGATATTCACCAACTCATCACCAGTCCTCATCTTCTGGGACAAGGCTGCCTTGCCTCCATCTTCAATCTGTGTTGCAGAGAACAAAACAGAAAGCAGGTGGTGAGGGGACTTCTGCCCCATAATTTTATTTCCTGGCTTCTCCCAACCTTGGAGACACAAATAGGACTGGGGAATGTTTCCAGTCAGCTCCAGGAGCAGATGAGCACAGGTCATTTCTTACTGAAGGCAGAATTTAGTCAAGCCCTTGAGAAAGAAGGCAACAGAGAAATAAGTTATTTACTTCTTGAAAGAATGAACAATCCATCTGAGGAGAGAGCACTTCTAAAAGAGAACTTAGGCTTAGAAGGAAGCCAACAGTGTGACTAAAGCAGTCGCATGGTATGGCAAAATGTGCACATAAATTAGCGCCAGAAAAACAGGGCTCCACTAAGACTTGGCAAGTCTTTTCCTACCTTTGGGCAGGCTTTGAAATCTGATAAACTTGAGTTCGAATTCTGGCTCTACTACCTTCTTGGTGAGAGATGCTGAGCATATTACCTAAAACTTTTGTGTCCAAATTGCCTCATGTGTAAATTGTAGATTGTAGATAATAAGAGAATCGGCCTCACAGGTTGTTTGAGAATTATGAGTCCATTGTAAATATGAGTTCTAATTATTATAATAAGGGGGGATGGCACTGAAAACCTTGAAGGTGGCCTCCAGCTCAACATTCTATGATGAAATTGTAAATTCTAAAGATATGAAGTAGGTACAAAGTAGCTGCTTACTTTTCTTTGTCTCTTCAAAACATACCTAGCACAGTACTCACCAATGGACATTCCAGAAAAGCTGGGAATGTGTTTACTGCTCCACCACAGCCTACACACTCAAAGTGACCAAGATACTCTGGGCAAAAAGGATTTCAGGTTAGTAGGTTCTGATAACAAAAGGAGAAGCAATAGTCACTAGAAGAGGCAAAAGTGAAGCAGAAAATTCCCCCAAAGATCCTGGTTTATAGCAAAGTTTATACATAACACATAAATTCTACTTACCACAAAGGTGAATATTAATTACATTTAGGATAATAAGGGTTATGCCATCTGTCATTAACTCATCCCCCAAGTATTTTAGAGCATTTTCAGTATGCACAGGACAATAAATATAAATGGTAGCAATGAACAAAACCAAAATGAACAAAACTCATAGCTCCTAGACTCAGAAGAGAGTTGTATGTCCACTCCGATGATGTAGTCAAACAAAAATCCAGCCAAGCCACATTATGTGTTTTAGGGAATAATGGTAGATATAGGAAGTAAGATTGATTAAATCAAACAATTCTTATGGAAAAGAAGATTCTAAGTGGGATAACTAAGGACTGGGTTTTAGTAAGGCTGTATTTATACTTCATTCTTATCTTCCTCTCAGGCTTTTATCTCATTTTCTGAACCTGTGGCCACATCATGGAAGTTAAAATATTGCTTAAGTTTGGTCAGATTATGGGAACTGTCAAGTAGGATCTCTTGGCCTCAAAGGAAAATGTTAATTCAGAATTTTAAAAACGTCCATCAAAAAAATTAAAATTCTGAATTGAGTCATAGACTTATTAAATGTATTGCTGCTAACCCCAAATTAAAAATAGTTAAGCTCTGACAAATCACAGTCTAGCCAAGTGACATTGAAAAATATTTAGAAACACATATATGTTTTTTATATTTTATAATAACCTTTTTCCAGTACATAATCAACCACTCAATACAAAAGAAACTATTATTGGCAAATGGGGAACAACTCTACGCAAATTAATTAGGACTACACTGTATTTCCATTGTCATTAGTATTATTACTTCATAGACACTGCTGTCTGTAATTTTTTAAAAATGTACTAAGCCAGGTATAATGAATGACACACACATGTAATCCTAATACTTCGGTGATGGAAGCAAGAGGATCAGGAGTTCAATATCAGCCTGAACTGCACGAGACTCTGTCTCAAAAAAGTACAACAACAAAATATTAAAGGGAAAATTAAAGTGTTGTACTTGAATTTCAGGAAATCAGTTTGAATGATTCATTCCTTTGGTACACAGGGAAGGCCCTTAGCATCAGGCAGCACTCTCAACATGGACCAGCCATTTGAAAGAGATTTTTGCTGCTAAGGAACCATAAACAGGAGTCTAACTAATAAATGCTAATAGACTTTTCTCAACTGATGTACATTAGTATTAATTTAGTTTATACATTTTGTATTCATACAACTCAATTACCCATATTACGGCAACTCATAGCAAGTTGTCCTTTCAATCTGTATAGATGTTAAGTAGTGCCTCTGGTTAATTTAGTATTTAGTTACACCAACAAGACATCTGTTTATTCCAAGGCACAAGATGAAAACCTTTTAAACTAAAATGCTTACTGATGCAGCAAAAGCATAGACAGTTTGCATTTCCTACTGCTGTTTAGTTGCCACTCTCTGCACTCTTTTAGAGACATTTCTTGGACTATAGCTGTGGGTTGACTGTGCCCCTTTCTGTATTCCATGTCCCTTTTCAGTCACCAGCAGGAATTTCCTCCAGACAGATATGTTGAGTATTATACTCAATGCCAGTTTCATGTGTCAAGTTGTTCCAATAAGACACAGCAAATTTTTGCTACCCAGCACAGTCCTAGATTCAGATGGATCTAGATCAGGTAGGCTCAATTTGATTGAAACTAGCCTTAAACCAGCCCTTTTCCAGAGGCAGGCAATTTACTGGGCTGTGTAAATACCTAACTCCTTACTCATGGAGACTTCTGGTCTTTTTGGTTCTTCCCTTCTAATTTATCTCCTCCCCAATCCATGTCTTGATTCCTGAGATCTGGCATGTATTCCATTTATTCTTTGGCCTTTGAAATCTAGTCTTCCAGGTGGGTGGCTAAATCACACATTTGTTTATATGGAAGATAAAGCAGATGTTCGTGTTCCTAGTAAGAGAAGGAACAACAACAAAAAATAAGCAGGAGGAAAGTTAGAAAGGAAGGTACGCAACACAGAGGAAAAAGCCATTGAGGTAGATAAGAAAATCAGCAATATGTTTTTAAAAATATTTTTATTATTTTTATGTGTATGCATGTATTGCCTGCATGTAGGTAAGTACACCCATGTCATGCAATGCCCATGGAGGACAGAAGAGGCTATCGGACCCCCTAGAACTGAAGTTATGGACAGTTAGCTGCCATGTGGGTGTTGGGATTCAAACTCGGGTCTTCTGCAGGAACATTCAGTATTCTTAACTGCTGAGCCATTTCTCCAGCCCCAGCAATATGTTTTAAAAAGTCAATAAGGACATTGAGAATTGGGGATAAAACAAAAAAACAAATAGAAATATTAGAAATGAAAAACTCAAAGAGCCAAATAAAAGACACAGCAGAAAATATCACCAATAAGCTCAACCAAGCAGAAAAAAGAATATCAGTGATTAAGTAAAATGTCAAAGAAATACTATACCCATCAATAAGGAAAAACAAATAAATGTGATAACAACATCCCAGAACTCCAGGATAAAATTAAGAGATCAAACCACAGAATCCATGGCTAAAAGTAGGAACTTAAACACTAAACACACAGAAAATTCAGTGATATTACAGCAGAAGTACTCCAAATCTAGAAAAATAGACATCTAAACGCAAGAGGCATTTAGAAACACAAATAGGTGTGACTGAAGAAGCACTTTTTCACAACATACTATAATATGCCATTACATCAAAAATAGAAAGCAAATGGTTTTAAAAGCTAGATGGAGAAAATGCCAACTCACCCACAAAGGCAGAAACACCAGAATAACATTAGATCTCTTGTCAGTGATCTTCAAAGTTAGGAAACAATGGAATGGTATATTTCAAGCCCTGAAAGTAAATATAACTCCAAAACAAGATTGATATATCTGGCAAAGCTTTTTCAAAATTGTTGGAGAAATAAGGAGACTTCAAGACAATCCTAAGTCAAGGTTGTTGATGGCAATCAAGTTAGTTAGTATTACAAAAGATACTTAAATACTATACACAGAAGAAGAAATTCTTATTCAAAAGAACACAGGAGAGAATAAATTTCATGAGAGGAATAAATAAAAATAAGACAGCTAGGACAGAACACATCATGCCTAACATGGTAAACCAGCAAATCCCTAATACTAACACAATGAAAAGAAAAAAACAAACAATAATCCAAGTAACCAGAAATGCAATCATTAAAATCATAGGAATTAATAATTCTCTCTTAATAATAATTATGAATATAAATGGCATTAACATATGAAAGAAGAGACACAGAGGGGCTCACTGGATTTAAAAAAAAAACTATATAGAATTACTGCTGCTTCTTAAGAAACACTTTACTACCAAAGACACCCAAAGACATAACCAAAGAATGGAAGTCAATCAAAAAGTGAAAAGTAAAAAACAAGCTGGTGTACCTATTCTGATATCTGATAAAGTAGAGTTCAAATTAAAATTAGAAGAGATAAAGGCCATTACATATTAATAAAGGGAACAAAATTCATTTAAAAAGGTATAATAATTATATATATGCATGTTGGGGTCCCCAATTCTATAAAATAAATTCTAATGGGCATAAAAGATGATGTTCTGGTACAATTATAGTGGGCAAATTCTCAAATAAGTCATCCAAACTTAAAGAAATTTAAGATTTAAACTACATTATAGATCAAGTGGACTTAATAGACAACTACAAACCATTCCATCCAACAGAAACTTAATACATTCTTCTTGGCAGTTTATAGAGCTTTCTATAAAATATACCACATAATAGCACACAATGATTTTTTAAAGATTTACTTTTCAATTTATGTATGTGTATATATGTGTGAATGGGTATGTGCATATTTGGGTGGGTGTCTCAGAGGCCAGAGGAGCTTGAGTTACAAGTGGTTGTGAGCAGCCAGACATAGGAGATTGGAATTTAACTCCAGTCCTCTGCAAGAGCACTGCATAATCTTGAATGCTGAGCGACCTCACCATCTCCCAAACAAGTCTCAACAAGTATTTTAAAAAATGAAAATTACTTCTTTTTTAATATTTTTTTTAAATTTTAT